ACATCCCCCATAGGGTGGAGGGTGCTATAGGGACCCCGTGTATGGGTGGTTCCATAAAGCACTATAGGGTGCTATAGGGTCCCCAAAGGATCTATATGGCCCTATGGCTCCCAAGACAGCAGGATCCCTATGGGGCTCCCTAGGACATGTTGCACAGCACTATAGGGGCCTGGGGGTGCTATAGGTGCTATAGGTGCCCAGCAGGGCTCCATAGGGCTATATGTTCCCCACACAGCTCCACAAGGTTCCATATGGGGTCAGGGGCCGGCTCCATAGGCCCCAGGGATCCCCAGGGGGATCCCATAGGGCTGCATAGACCCCATAGGAGGATCCCACAGGGCTCCATAGACCCTGGCCCCTATAGATTCCATAGGCACCAAGGGGATCTCATAGGCTCCACACACCCTATAGGGAGATCCCATAGGGCTCCACAGACCCCATAGGGGGATCCTATGGAATCCACAGACCCCATAGGAGGATCCCACGGGCTCCACAGACCCACGGCCCCTATGGATCCCATAGGCAACAAGGGGATCCCACAGGGCCCCATAGACCCCCGGCCCCTATGGATCCCACAGACCCCATAGGGAGGTCCCACAGGGTTCCATAGATTCCTGGCCCCTATAGATCCCATGGGCATCAAGGGGATCCCATAGGGCTCCACACCCCGCCAGCCCTTATGGATCGCACAGACCCCATAGGGTGATCCCATGGAATCCATAGACCCCATAGGGGGATCCCATGGAATCCACAGACCCCATAGGAAGATCCCATAGCGCTCCACAGCCCCCGTCCCCTATGGACCCCATAGGCACCAGAGCGATCCCATAGGACTCCATAGATCCCAAGGGCGATCCCATGGAATCCACAGACCCCATAGAAGGATCCCATAGCACTCCACAGGCCCCGTCCCCTATGGATCCCATAGGCACCAAGGGGATCCCATAGGGTGATCCCATGGATCCCACAGACTCCATAGGACCCCATAGACCCCCGTGCCCTATGGATCCCATAGGCACCTTGGCGTAGCAGCGCTCCATGTGCCGCAGGGGATCCCATAGGGCCCCATAGACCCCATAGGGGATCCCATAGGGTGATCCCATGGATCCCACAGACTCCATAGGACCCCATAGACCCCCGTGCCCTATGGATCCCATAGGCACCTTGGCGTAGCAGCGCTCCATGTGCCGCAGGGGATCCCATAGGGCCCCATAGACCCCATAGGGGATCCCATAGGGTGATCCCATGGATCCCACAGACTCCATAGGACCCCATAGACCCCCGTCCCCTATGGATCCCCTATGGATCCCATAGGCACCTTGGCGTAGCAGCGCTCCATGTGCCGCAGGGGATCCCATAGGGCCCCATAGACCCCATAGGGGATCCCATAGGGTGATCCCATGGATCCCACAGACTCCATAGGACCCCATAGACCCCCGTCCCCTATGGATCCCCTATGGATCCCATAGGCACCTTGGCGTAGCAGCGCTCCATGTGCCGCAGGGGATCCCATAGGGCCCCATAGACCCCATAGGGGATCCCATAGGGTGATCCCATGGATCCCACAGACTCCATAGGACCCCATAGACCCCCGTCCCCTATGGATCCCCTATGGATCCCATAGGCACCTTGGCGTAGCAGCGCTCCATGTGCCGCAGCGCCACCTTGGGGTTCACGGGGTGGCCGCAGCTCACACAGAAGATCTGCAGGTCGGTGTCGTCGCTCTCCCCGTCGCTGCTCTGCGGAACGGCCGGAATGTGGGAATGCCGGAATGCCGGAACGGGCGGGAACGCGCCGGAATGTGGGAATGGGCCAGGATATGGGAATGGGCAGGATACAGGAATGGCTACGATACAGGAATGGGCGGGAATGTGGGAATGGGCAGGATACGGGAATGTGGGAATGGGCCAGGATATGGGAATGGGCAGGATACAGGAATGGCTAGGATACAGGAATGGGCGGGAACACGCGGGAATGGGCGGGAATGGGCGGGAACGCGCAGGAATGGGCAAGAATACAGGAATGGGCGGGAATGCGGGAATGGGCCGGAATGCGGGAATGGGTCGGAATGCGGGAATGGGTGGGAATATGGGAAGGGGTAGGAATGTGGGAATGGGTGGGATATGGGAATGGCCGGGAACGCGGGAATGGGCTGGGATGCAGGAAGGGCCGATATACAGGAATGGGCAGCGAATACGGGAATAGGCTGGGATACAGAAAGGGCCAGGATATGGGAATGGGCGGGAATGTGGGAATGGGCTGGGATACGGGAAGAGCCGGGATACGAGAATGGCCCGGAATACGGGAATGGACTGGGATGCGGAAATGGGCCAGAATACGGGAATAGGCGGTAATGTGCGGGAATACGGGAATGGGCCAGGATGTGGGAATGGGCAAAAATGGGTGGATGGGTGG